GCGGGGCGCCCAGTCCGTCCATTTCCCGACCTCGCTGAAGCCCTCCAGCCCGACGCGCCAGCCCGGCGCCACGCGGTACACGCCGCGCCACTGCAGCTTGAGCCGCGTGTCGTGCCGGCTGCTGTCGTACTCCCAGAACACGTTGGCATTGAGCTTGAGCGCGCCGAGGTCGGTCTGCCAGGCCGGCCCCAGCTCCAGCGCGTTGCCCTGGCCGCGGTTGCGGATCAGCTGCGCGTGGATGGCGAGGTCGTAGGGCTTCTCGCCCTGCGTCAGCAGCACGACGTTCTGCCAGTTCCAGCTCGACAGCACCTGGTCGGACGCGCCGTAGCCGATCCAGCTCGCCAGGAGGCGCGTCGTCCAGCGCGAGTTGACGCCATAGCTCAGGCCGACCTCGGGCCACAGCGTGGCCTCTTCGTCCGATGGCTTCACGGTCCAGTAGCGCAGCTCCGCGCCGACGCGGCCGGCCTGGTCGTAGGGCGTGACGAGGTAGTAGCCCGGGTCGGCCCCGGCCGGCGCGGCCAGGGCCAGCGCCGCGATCGCCAGGCTGCAATGACGGGTGAAACTCATGGGCGCGACTCTAGGGCTCGCGCGGCCCCGACGTGAAAACCCCCGAACCCCTGACAAACCCCGAGTTGCGAGGGCGCACAAGGCGCAGGGAGGCCGTGACAATTTGTGGCGCTGTCGCTGTACCCCATGAGTCCCGATTCCCCTGCCTCGACCCCCGACGGCGCCATGCCGCGCCGGCTGAGCTCCCTGCGACTGCGCCTGACCCTGTGCGTGCCCGTGCTGACGGCCGCCATCGTGGCCGCCTTCGAGTGGAGCCTGGGCGGTGACGTGTCGCACGCCGAGGGCCTGGCCCGCAACGCCTGGCTGGTGCTGCTGCTCAGCGCGGCCCAGCTGCTGCTCATCGAGGCCCTGCTGCTGCGCCCGCTGCACCGGCTGGCGGACGGCGTCGAGGCGATGGAATCCGCGCCCGTGCCGCTGTCACCTGAAGACGCCGTGCCCGCCCCGGGCCTGGCGGCCGAGCTGGACCGCATCGGCCACGCGATGCGCCGCGCGCGCGGCTCGCT